TCTTTTTTTTTTTCGAGAAAAGTAGTAGCGACCGAGTTTCAAGCTCGAAGCCTTCTAACTCGACGCTTTGACTCGTTATATTTTTGACACGAAGAACGTCGACGTCGTCGTCGTCATGATATGATGAAATTACAAACGCGTTTTGCTAGACGCTCCTGTGGTTCAGGTAATTGCGAATTTCTGCTCGAGTCGGTGTCTTTGTCCTATGAAAGAAGAACTTAATTAGAGTATTTCGTCTAACATCTATCTATCCGCACGTACACATAAATGTGCGTGCGTGCGTGCTCGTGTATATTCACGTTCAATAATAGAAAAGTGAATTTTAAAAAAGAAAAAATATGTTAAGAGAAAATGATTCGTGTGTTTCATATCGAATCGCGATAATTGACAAATTTTCATTGAATCGAAACAAAATAGAGACAAAGAAAAGGAAAGAAATAATATAAATGTAAATAATTATAATCGTTTATCAATTATCGCGATCTGTAAGAAAATATAATATATTATAGAAGGAATGAAACATTAAAATATAGAAACGATGAAAAAAAAGAATATAATAACAAAACATATATTATGTTTCTATTATTTTATTCTATATTATATCGCATTTTTTTTTTTCGAAATAGAAGCGGTTTAACTCGATTTTGTTTATCACAATTTACATTCGGTTATTTGTTAGGAGAACGACCACCGACCAGTAGCCGTATAAAATACGATCAAAATCTTTCTCGTAGTTTCGTTTAGTTAAAAAAGGTGAAACTTTTTATCTCTCTCTCTCTTTCTCTCTCTCTCTTTACCACTAATAAGATTGAACGCATTTGCAAGAACACGCTAGAGCTTTGTTCTCAACGACGATGGTCGACGTCTAGTCGGTTGGTGGTTGGTAGGGGGATACGGGTATGAGGGTGGAGGGGGCGGGGGGGTTAACATTATTGTCGAGGTTCTCTCGAGTCGAGTGGAAATCGCCTAATGGTTAGAGAGTTAGGAAGAGTAGAAGAGGAGACGAGAGGAGAGGAGAGGAGAGGAGAGGAGAGGAGAGGAGAGGAATGGTAAAAAAAAAGAAAAAAGAAGAAAAAGAAGAAAGGAAGAAAGTGGAAGGAAAAGTACGAGACAAGTTGGTAGAGGAAAAATAATCCAGGAGGAGGAAAAAAGAGGGGGTGTTGTATAGAGGAAGAAGAAAGACCTTAAGGGAAGGAGAAAATAAGAGGATAGGGCAAGAATGTCGTCGTCCTTGCCATCCTCTCTCTCTCTCTCTCTCTCTCTCTCTCGTGAACACACGAGAGGAGGAGATTGCTTCCAGTCGGAAAACGAGATAGGTGGATGGGCACTTAAGATGAGGAAACCGTCATTTCGAAGGTTCACGCGAGCTTTTCCGTTAGCCTAGGGCTGATAAAAAAAGGAAAAAACCTCTTTGGATGTGTGCGCTTCTTTTTCGATACCTTGGTTACGTATCTGCTGCTTCCTACCCCCCCCCCCGACCCCTGTACCCCGCCCCACCCGTGGAAATAGCGGAAATCTATGAGAGCTTTTCTAACACAATCTCGAAAAAGCACCTACACCATACCCCTACCTATTATTACTAACCGGTCACGAAATCGAACTACACTTTTGCCATTATCAATGAAATCCAAGCGACCATTTTGTTTTATTTTTTTTCTTCTTCTCTTTCTTTCTTTCTTTTCTTATTTTTTTCTTTTCTCCGTCGATCATCGTTTTATAATAATTATATGTGTGTGTGTGTGTATTTTTATTAAAGATATTGTATTTATATTACGCGAATAATATAAATCAATGTTATACGATTTAGAAAATAAAAATACGCGATCCTATGGAAACGATTGAAATTGTAAATTTTTTTATCGAAAAAGAAGAAAAAAAAAACAAAAATAAAAGAAAAAAAATGACAGAAAAATATTCGCGGCGATGTAATTTATTAGTTGTATATTATTCAAGTACCTTTATATTTCATTTCTGGTAGAGCATATTCGCGCAGTCGAACCTGCGGAGTTAAATAAATTCGAAAAAGTATTAAAAAAAAAGAAAAAAAAAAAAAAGAAAAAAAAACATTTATGAAACATGTGCACACACAATACACATATATTATATGTTAAAATTCTTATGTACTTTATACGCAACGATTGTCCGATTGGAATGGCAATTTATTCGACATATCTAATATTTGATCCCCCGTTATATTTTATCTCCATTTGCAAATTTAATCGATTCGACCAATTCGTTTGTTCCATTTCTTTTTTTTTTTTTTATATTTAAATCCTAAATAAGTATACGTCCAAAATAAAGTCCCAAAATGTTTTGGGAGGGGAGTAGAGGAAATGATTTTACCACCTCCTCATTTACGATCGTTATAGTAATAAAATAATGAACTAACGTGAGAAGGAAAAGAAAAAAAAAAACAAAAAAGAAATTAAATTAAATTACATTAAATTAAATAAAAAAAAAACAAAACAATAAAAAAAAAATAAAAAGAAAGAAAAGCGATGCGTAAAATTGCATTCGCCAATGGTTCAGAGATGCAGCTGCGAACTGTTGGATTTGTATCCGTATGCGTATACATACTCCTACACACACACACACACACACATACATTTATATATATATATATATGAATGTAGATAGGTAACCATTCTAGCATGTCACTGGCATTACTATGCCGCAAACCCCTTTAACACTCGGCCCACAGACAACGCAACGCGACTGAAACGTAGCCGCCGGTGGTGAACGTTGCACGGACAATGTTTGCTCGTTTAAAAGGCCGACTCTGGTTG